TGAGGTGCAGAAGTGGGACGCTGACGGCGACCGTACCAGTCGTGCAGCTGCTGGGAGGTGAGGGGCACACGCGGACGAAGACGGCTACTCCAAGGAGACCGCGTAACAGCAGTCGCAGAACCCTCAGGCGACTCACCCCCAGACTCAGCACCCCCAGGCTCCGCACACACCGGCTCAGCACCCCCAGACGCAGCACCTTCAGACGCAGTACCCCAAGACGCAGCACCTCCAGGCTCCTCACGCGCAGGCTCAGCACCCCCAGGCTCCACACGCTCAGCGCCCCCAGACTCAGCACCCCCAGGGACAGCACCACTCGCAGCAGGACCGGAGTCACCAGAGACCTCAACAGGCGCATGCGCAGGGGGGTCTACCTGAGAGACACCTGAAGGAGCAGGACCTGGCGCGGGGAGGGGGTCTACCTGGGGAGGACCTGGGGCGAGAAAGAGCGGCGGGGGGGGGCGAGGAGCAGTGCGGTAGGGGAAGAGGCGGTAAAAGGGGACCGACTCGTCAAAGGTGACGTCCTGAGACGCAAAGACACGGCGCGAGGCGGGGTCGTAAAACTGCCAGCCAGGCGCGTCAGGGACAAAGCCAAGGAAGACGCAAGGAATGGCGCGAGGGGAGAGCTTGTCCGCGGTGGTATCGCGGACAAAGGCACGAGCACCCCAGACCCGGAAACGCGACGCGTCGCCAACCTTCCCCGTCCACAGCAGTGTGGGCGAGGTCTCCGGCAAGGAGACACGGGGCCAAAGGTTGAGCTGATGCGCGGCGTACCGGACCGCAAACGGCCACAGAAAATGGGGGGCAGCCGCATGGATCATGGAGGTATGAGCGACCTCCATGACTAAGCCAATGCGGCGCTCAGCAACCCCATTCTGCTGTTGAGAGGCCGGAAGCGTGAAAGTCTGGCGGATGCCGTGCTCCGCACAGAAGACTGCCAAGAGGTCTGAGGAGATCTCACCACCTCTGTCAGAGTGCAAACGCAGGACAGGAAAGTCCGACTGGAACCGCTCACGGAGCTGGAGACGAGTAGCGCGGATCCAGGGGATCAAAACATCAGGGACATCCCCCTTGCACTGCAAGGGGAAGACCGTGGTGTAGCGCGTGTAGTCGTCGACAACCAGCAGGAAGTACCGCTCGTGGCCCTGTCCACGGACGCGGGCTGGGCCCCACACGTCCAGGTGGAGAGTCTGCAGTGGAGCCTCTGTGGGAGGGAACGAGGAGGAGTGAGGAGCGGCGCGCTGCCGCCCCTCGACGCAGGGAATGCAGGGCGGCGCAGGCGAGGGAGGGAGGGGAGGCAGAGACCTGGGAAGACCAGAAACCAGGAAGCGGGAGTGCATGCTGCGTAGGCGAGGCAGGGAGGGGTGACCAAGGCGGTGGTGCCACAGGAGAGTGTCGTGCGACAGCAGGCGACACTCACACTGTGTAGCTACCTGAGCAGACGCGTGCAATTGGGGAGACAAAGGGGCGGAGCACGACGCAGTGGTGAGGGTGTACAGACTCGACCCTGGCGCACGAGCGAACGTGGCCAGGTGGCGACCAGTCTGGGAGCACGTGCAAATCGCCACACGCTGCCGGCCAGGGGTGAAGGTGTCAACCCCCGCATCCTGGAGGACAGCGTTACTCACCAGGTTCGTAGAGAACGAGGGGAGGTGGAGACCAGACAGCTTACCAGACGGGACCGCCGGACACGGAAGCACAGTGGAAGACCGTGCAAGCACTGGGCCCCCAGAGGGGTCAGCCAGTGAGACAGGAACAGGTGCAGGGAGGGGAGTGACTGTGGTACTGTCGCGAAAGAAACAGCGAGAAGCACCAGAGTCAAGTGTAAAGGTGTGCAAAGCCAGTGCAGGCGTAGTACCAAGGGGAGCAGACTCACAAGCACCTAGTGCTGCAGGGGCTATACCAGGGGCTATACCAGGATCCGACGGCACACACAAGTAGCAGTCACCCTCAGCACTAACAGACAAGGCATACATAGCAGCAAGAATTGCCTCATAGTCAAGATCAAAGATAGGTACATCACGCCTAAGCAAGTCTGCCCAGTTGGGGAACTCAGGAGCATCAGGAAACTTGGCGCGCCGGGCGTCGCTAAGCCGAGCGAAGCAGCGCTGCTCAGTGTGAAAACCTGTGCACTGGCGACCAGCGCGGGGACCTGTGCGGATGATATAGGGGTAGCGACCAGGACCCCCAGAAGCCCCACGCCCGGCATACCAGTCAAGAAGCTGCTGAGAAGTGGGGGTCTGGCGCTGACGCTGATGCTGCTGCTGCTGCTGCGGCTGCTGCTGGCCCTGACCACCAATGCCACTACCGCTCCCTCCTCCCCCACCGCCGCTGCTGCCCCCTCCACCGCTCCCAGTGCCTCCGCCGCCCCCACCACCACCTCCACCGCCTCCACCCCCACGACCACCCCCACCACCTCCACCTCCCCCGCCGCCAGCACCACCGCCACCTCCACCGCCACCCCCACCGCCCCTGCCACCCCTGCCGCCCCTGCCGCTGCGACGCTTCCCACTAGGAGCGGAAGCAGCTCCGACCCCCTCAGCACCAAGGTAGTCGTGAGCAGCAGCTGCGGAGGCGTAGGAGGGGGTGAGAGGGGAGGGGGAGCACCCCTCAAAGAGGGGAGAGCGAGGAGTGCCACGAGCAGCACCTACAGCGAGGATGTTCTTTTCTGCTGCGAGGAGGTGCTTCTCGAAGTCGTCGACAGTGAGAGTGGTGGGGTCTAGCGCTAGGAAGTGGTCCCTGACAGAGCTAAGAGTGTCAGGGAGGCGGGTGACGAGGAAATAGAGAGTGAAGTACATCGGGGGGGGGTTTGTGGCGCAGAACTCGGCTGAAAGAGCGGCACGAAAGCGAGAGTCAGTAGCGCGCAGGTGAGAAACTAGGTCCTCAGCAGTGGTGAACGAGGAAAGATCGGGGAACAGGTACGGCAGCATGAGTCGACCTATGGCTGCAGTGGCCGGGGAGGAGTAGCGCGCAACTACAGCGTCGTACAGTGTCTTAGCAGTTCTGTGCTGGCTGAAGTGCGCTTGCTCAGTAATCGGCAGGTGGTTCCTAATAGCTAGGCGTGCAGCAGCATTACGAGTCTGCCACTGAGAGCGTTCTAGAGCAGGAGCATCAGCAGCAGGAGTAACGGCAGTGCCAGAGACGTAATCAAACAGGGAAACGCCCTCTTTGGCATCAGTCAGAAGGAACAGCTGGAGATCGTCTAACCACACAGTGAACTCGATGGGACGACCGTCAGGCTCGAACGCTAGAACGTTGGGCGTCGCCATATTGGCTTAAGGCAGGAGGAAGCAGGCAGCAGGCAGCAGACAGAGGCAGCAGGTACCAGGTAGGAGGCAGGTGGCAGGCAGGCGGCAGCAGGCAGCAAGCAGGCAGGCGGCAGCAGGCAGCAAGTAGCAGGCAGGCAGCAGGCAGTAAGTAGCAGGCAGGCAGCAGGTAGGCAGCAGGCAGGCTGCAGCAGGCAGGCAGCAGGCAGCAAGCAGCAGGCAGGCAGCAGGCAGGCAGCAGGCAGGCTGCAGGCAGGCGGCAGCAGGCAGCAAGCAGGCAGGCAGGCAGGCGGCAGGTAGGCGGCAGCAGGCAGGCGGCTGCAAGCAGCAAGCAAGTAGCAAGTAGCAGGCAGGCAGCAGGCAGTAAGTAGCAGGCAGGCAGCAGGTAGGCTGCAGGCAGGTGGCAGCAGGCAGCAAGCAGGTAGCAAGTAGCAGGCAGGCAGCAGGCAGTAAGTAGCAGGCAGGCAGCAGGCAGGCAGCAGGCAGGCGGCAGGCAGGCGGCAGCAGGCAGCAAGCAGCAGGCAGGCAGCAGGCAGGCAGCAGGCAGGCAGCAGGCAGGCAGCAGGCAGGCGGCAGGAGGCAGCAAGCAGGCAGGCAGGCAGGAGGCAGGCTGCAGGCAGGCGGCAGCAGGCAGCAAGCAGGCAGGCAGGCAGGCGGCAGGCAGGCGGCAGCAGGCAGCAAGCAGGCAGGCGGCAGCAGGCAGCAAGCAGCAGGCAGGCAGCAGGCAGGCAGCAGGCAAGAGGGCTGCGTGAGGCTGCTGGCTGCGTGTGGCGGCTTGCTGCACGAGGCTGCAGGCTGCGCGTGGCTACAAGAAGCGCGCGCGGCCGCAGGCTGCGTGCGGTGACGGAATGCGCGGGCTGCGGGCTGCTTGCAGCTGCGGGCTGCGCGTGGCGACAGGAAGCGTGCGCGGCTGCAAGCTGCGTGCTGCTGCGGGCTGCTCTGGGCGACGGGCCGCACGTGCGCGGCTGCGGGCTGGTCGCTAAGCTACGGGCTGCGCTGGGCGACGAGCCGCGCTGGCGTGGCCTAACTAGGTTGCGCGCGGGCGGCTTAAGTGGCGCACAGGTGGGGCCGAAACGGGCTGCGCGGGCTGCTAAAACGGCGCACGTGGGAAAAAAAAAAAGGACCGCCCGAGGCGCGCGCGGGCAGCCGAGGCGCGCGTAGGCCCTAGACAAGGCAGGCAAACGTGGTGGGCCCTAATCCTAGGTCCTAAGGACCTATGCTCTATACCATTTCAGAATCCTAGGCAAAAGTGGTCTCGACTATCGAGAGAGTTTTGGTACAAAGAAGAAACCTAAGGGGTTGTATCCCACAGTGAGTACCCCACTAAGCCTACCCAAACTATAGCATATATATACATATGTTTGACACCATGACACATGCGTGTTATTGATATAATTTGAATATGTATCATAAGGTAAGGTTGCTCACCACTGGGGAACAAACGGGGCCATCCAGATTGCGTCGCCTGCTTGGACCAAATACCTGCAAATACATACAGAGTGAAACAAAATTGCAGTATTTGGATGAATGCTTAGAAACTGCAGCTTCACATGCTTGGTTCAAGTGCGTTGTTAAGATTTTTCTTAGCCACATAATTTCCTCACTGCAAATCCCTGTATCAAAACATAAGACGCGTGCACTGCATTTCACCGTCAACAGCTGTTGCCTCAAACGCTTTTGCCTCACCAGCTATTGCCTCACCAGCTGTTGCCTCAAACGCTTTTTCCTCACCAGCTATCAGCCAAATGGTAGATGCCCCGTCCTTCCAGCAGCAGCAGCCCGTGCTGATTGTAATGCACTTCCTGTTTTGCAGGCAGAGAAAAAAGGAGGGAAGAAGATAGGGAAGGGAGGGAAGGGAGGGAGAGAGGGAGGGAGGGAGAGAGGGAGGGAGGGAGGGAGGGAGGGAGGGAGGGAGGGAAGGAGGGAGGGAGGGACTGAGGGAGGAAGGGAGAGAGAAAGGGTGGCTGGGGAGAAGGGTACGAGGACGGGAGGGACAGACGGAAAGCCACCTCGACGGCCAACCCTGAATTTATTCAAAACGAGCAAGGATGCGTACTCAGTTTTCAGCTCGACTGAAAAGGAACATCCATGCATAAGCAACCAGATAGGAACAGGGACGTCCTATTACACTAACATGTTGACACATGTTGACTACTGCCAGCTAGTACCTTGAGACGACTTTTGAGGCGCCTCAAAAGGAGCATGCATGCGTAAGCAACTACATAGGAACAGGGACGTCCAATTACACTACTACGTTGACTACTGCCAGCTATTACCTTGAGCATGTGTCACAATATACTTGCATTATCACCTTGAGAAGCCACATTCACCTTCACATTTAGGAAGTTTTGAGTCGACTCAAAACGAAGCCACACTAACCTTCACATTTAGGAACTCCCCTGGCTCAAAGTCCATGATCTGCAGAGAGCACGGGGGGTGTTCAATGCTAAGGGATGAATTTTGAGTCGACATTTAGGAACTCCCCCGGCTCAAAGTCCATGATCTGCAAAAGAGCAGACGAAGTGTTGAACGTAAAGGGCAGTAACTCTCGTGCTTGTTTCCAAAAGAAAAAAAAAATGCAGAACAAATCAAGCAAAAGATTGCTGTTTGAAACAGCCCCTTACATGAATGTTGAAGTCATAGGCAATCGTGGTTGGAAGCAGCTTGCGAAGCGCAAAGACCTGTAGAATGATGCATTTGAAAAAGTAAAAGCAATGACACCGCAGAACACCTCACAGCACCGCACCGCACATTCAGTCGCAGAAGGGAGGTGAGTAATGAGTAGTTTGAGAAGCGCTAAGTCCGGAGAACGATGGAGCTGACAGTGAGAACAGAGTGGGTTGCTTGCGCAATAAAAACTGACAACTACAGTAACAAGTACAGGTGGCAGCTCAGCTAGTAGCGAAAAGCAAAAGGGAAAAACACAATCAACAGTGAGAAACACAAGTGAAAGTGAAAGCGAAAAACAAGCAGAATGAAAACAAGGCACAAGCGATAGTGACAGCAGCACAAAGCACCTCTCCAGGGACTGGCAGAATGGGCTGCTTGTGCGTCTGCCCCACAGCCACCGCCAGCCCCTCTGAACCGTTTTCCACCCCAGAGGCTGTTGCGAGGCCCGAGTTAGGGTAGTACCTGGTGGTTGTGGGTGGAGGGCGTGGGGGTTTGGGGTGGGGGGGGGGGGGGGGGGGGGTGGCGGGAGGGAAGGGGGAGGGGACACCTGAGGCTGCAGCGAGGCCTGAGATAGGGCAGTACCTGATGGCGGTGGGTGGAGGGCGTAGGGGTTTAGGGGGGGGGGAAGAAGGGAGTGCGACGAAGACGAGGACGGCTTTTGAGTCGACTCAAAACCCCTTGCTCTCCACCCCTGAGGTTGTCAAGAGGCCCGCGATAGGGCAGTACCTGATGGTGGTGGGTGGAGGGCGTGGGGGGTTCGGGTCGGGGGAAAGAGGGGGAGTGGGGGGAAGACGAGGACGGGGGAGGAAGGAAGGAGGGAGGAAAGGAAAGGGAAGGCGGGAGGGGGAGGGGGAGGGGGAGGGGGAGGGGGAGGGGGAGGGGGAGGGGGAGGGGGAGGGGGAGGGGGAGGGGGAGGGGGAGGGGGAGGGGAGGAGGGGAAGCAGGGAGAAGGGAAGAGATATTTGGCAAAGGGAAGGAAGATGGAAGGTGTGTGGGAAACAAGAGTTAGAATAGAAATTAATGCTTTGATTGAGAATCATGGGGGTATACATAGTAGGGGGTTGGATACTAGCCTAGGTTGGCATTATTGGACCCCAACCAAGAAGTTGGGTTGGGTGATTATTGGTGGGGTCCAATAATGTTGGCCAAGTTGGGGTTGGGCCAACATTATTGGAGGGAGCCAATAATTCTACCCAACCCAACCTTTTGGGGTCCAATAATTGGACCAAGGTTGGGTTCCAACCTACAAACTGGGTTACCTTGTTTGTACACCCAAACTAAGTTTGGGTGCTTATCTCTAGCCTACCCTATAGCATGTATGCAGGTTACAAGAGGAGAGATATTCTACCAAGGTGCTGTGAGAACTTAGGCTTAGAAGCGATACATTAGTAATGAGCTTGAAGCTCTTTAAGTACATCCAAGAAGGGTAAGGAATAGTTGGGGAAGGGAATCAGAGGCAATCCCTAGGGATTGGGGGTAATCCCAAGGCAATCTCCAATTGATGGGTTGGAGATTGCTTGGAGATTACAATTGGGTTTGGTTGGGATGTAGGTGTACACCCAACCAAACACAATGTGCAAACTACACTACTCTAGGATATAGAAAATACAAAGCACAAAGTGTGAGATTGAAGGCTAACACTAACACCCCCCCATAGGCGTCAATCGAACTCAGGGCAGAGAGGGTGGAGCACAGAGCCCCATGGCGCCAAGGAGACGGTGGTGGGGAACTTTCCCAAGGGGCTTGGTGAACAGATCAGCCAGGTTGCAGTGAGATGCAACATACTCCACTTTCAACTGCTCCTGCTGGACAAGGTCACGGATGAAGAAGTGCCGGAGTTCAATATGCTTGGTGCGGGTGTGATACACAGGGTCTTGAGAAATGTGGATGGTACTCTGGTTGTCACACCAAAGGGTGGGGGTGGACTGTGGGAAACCAAGCTCCTGGAGTAGGAAGGTGAGCCAACGGTCCTCCTGAGCAGCCATGGTGCCTGCGTAGAGCTCTGCCTCACATGAGGAGAGGGAGACTGCAGATGACCTGGTGGAGCGCCAACTGACAATTCCGCTCCCAAGGGTGAAGCAGTACCCCTGAGAGGAGCGTCGGTCGGTCTGGTCATCAGCCCAGGAGGAGTCGGTGTAACCTTCCAGGCGAGGAGGGGAGAGCCCACCGAATGTGAGAACGCGAGACTTGGTGCCCTGAAGATAGCGCAGCACCCGCTTCGCTGCCTTCCAGTGAAGATCAGTGAAGCGCCCAGAGAGGACACTGATAGGATAGGCCAAGTCCGGCCGGGTGCACATCATGGCGTACATGAGGGACCCAACAAGCTCCGGGTATGGCTCAGAGCAGGCCTCTGGTGTGGGTACAGCTGGAGCTGTGAGGAGGTGTTGCAGCGGCAGCGGGGTGGCAACAGGTGTGCACAGCTCCATCTCAAACCGCTTGAGCACATTGTCGATGTAGAACTCCTGGGAGAGTGAAATGGTGCGAGCCTGGCGATCACGAGTGATCTCCATCCCCAGGTAGTGCTTGAGGTCACCGAGGTCTTTCATCTGGAGGGCCTTGCTCAGGGCTGCCTGGACAGAGGTCATCTGGGCCGAGTTCTTGGCAACGAGGATGAAGTCATCCACGTAGACCAGGATGTAGAATGGCTCAGAATGACGGCGGATGAAGAGAGTCGGGTCAGCAGATGAGGGGTGGAAGTCCAGGGAGAGGAGGACTTCTTTCACCTTGTTGTGCCATTCGCGAGGGGCTTGCTTAAGGCCGTAGACGGGGCGATTCAGCTTCCAGACAGTGTTGGGAGGGAATTCTCTTGGGAAGCCTTCAGGTCTGTCCATGAACACTGTCTCCTTGAGACGTCCTTGTAGGAAGGCGGATGAGGCATCCATGGATTTGATCTCAAAGTCTTCTCGAGCTGCGACATCCATGAGCGTACGAATGGTGGAAGGTTTGGATGTGGGGGAGAAGGTTAGGAAGAAGTCGCGGTACTGCTGCTGGGTGAAGCCCTTGGCTACGTAACGCGCTTTGAACACCGGGGCCTCGTCTGGGAGCTGTTTTACATGGAACAACCACTTGCCCCCGACGATGTTGACTCCTGGAGGTGGAGTCTCGTCGTCGAAGGAGTGGTTGCGGGTGAATGCTTCAATCTCCGCTTCCATGGCAGCACGCCATTCGGCAGCATGAGGGCCTGAGAGAGCCTCTTGGACGGTGAGAGGGATAGGGATGGTCGGATTTTCCGTGAAGTTGAGTGAGGGTGATTCAGTGATGTCAGGGAAGATGTGCGAGAGCTGGGGAATGACTGCGTGAAGATCATAAAGCTCCTCATGCCTATCTTCCAGAAGGGTAGAGGGCACATCCCCCCCGGCAGGAGGAGTCGAAGTGATCGTGGAGCAACGAATAGCCAGGGCCAGAGGAGGAGCAGGGCCGTGCGAGCGAGTGCCATGGGCTACCGGAGAGGAGGGCGGAGCAGGCGGTGTCTGAGGGATTGACTTAGGAGGCTTGGGCGGGGGAATTGGCCACCGCTTGTACGTGATCAGTTCGGGCGGCTGTGGAGGAGCGGGTGCCTGGGAGGAAGGGGGGACTGGGGGAGGAGGTGGGGCCGGAGGGTGCGACCGCCGATGGTATGTGATTGGTGCGCTCGGAGGTGGCGGCGCAGATGGCAGGGCGGCAGGTGAGGGGGAGGGAGGAGCAGCTGCCAAAGACACTGGTGAGGGCGGGTCAGAGACCTCAGAGGGGGACGGTGCGGTGGCAGGAGGGGTAGGAGGTGAAGGGGCCGGAGAAGGCGGGAGGTCAGGAGGCGCATCAAAGTCTGCCCACACAAGGGAGGGTGGATCAGAGAGAGAGTCCCGTTCCGAAGTTGAGTAGAATGGACGGGTCTCATCAAAGACAACGTCGCGGCTCCGGACCAACTGTTGAGTGGAGGGGTTGAGGAAGAGGCAGTCAGGCAAGTCGGCGTTGTGCCCGAGGTAGATGCACGTCTGGGTCTTGGGACCGAGCTTGCCGCCGTGCTGCCGTCGAGCCTGAGGGTTGAGGAGGACATAGGCGGTGCACCCCCAAACGCGAAGAGAGCGAGCAGTGGGCGTTTTCCCGAGCCAGAGTGTGGTTGGAGTGGTGTCAGGAAGATGCGGGTGGGGGTAAAGGTTGTAGAGGAGGGCGGCGTGGTAGAGAGCGTACCCCCAGAGAGAGTGCGGAGCGTTGGAGTGGCCGAGGAGGCACCGAGTGATCTTCACCAGGGTGTGGTTGCGGCTCTCAGCTATGCCGTTCTGCTGCGGGCTGTCAGGGAGGGTGAAGTTTTGCTGGATGCCTTCTAAGGAGCAAAAGGCTTTGAGCTGTTATAGTCACAATAGGCTTGAATGTGCCTAAACAAAAGATAGAGAGCACAGACGAATTTCTGCACAGCGGCTTCAAACGTTGATAGCGTTCTGCTCACAGCTGCAAATGACTTGATTCAAACTGGATCTGGAGCGTCGTCACGTCGTCTACAATAAGCAATTTAGATTGCACGATTTGATAAAGAATTGACGACACAGCGTCGGTTTAAACGAACGGTACTATGGCAGCCACAATAGTCTTAGAACACAAGATAGGAAGAGTTACGAGTTGGGAATGACTCCCAGCTCCTACAAACCCCAAGAGCCGAGGTACAGTGATGTGGAACAGTGCCACACTGTCCCCAACCACGAAGGGTCTCGAAACTACCCTCCACAAGGGCCTACACCAAGAGAAATGTTACACTACACAAAGTAATGCAACTATTCTCACTATCTTAAAGTTTACCCTTTTTGAGAGCTTCGAAATCACTTGATTCTTGAAACCAAGGCTCTGGTTCTTCAAGGTAAATTCTTCCTTGAGTTCTTGGAAGTCTGCTGCGCACACCTGCGACACGCCGAACGTTCCACACACGACAAAATAGAAAACCGCACACGACACGCAAACGACAACGTGACACGCGACTAGCGATAACTCGCTATTGACTCGACACACACATTCAAAATCATGCCTCATCATTCACATGCTATTGTAAGCATGAAATATATATTATTTCATGCCCTCATACCATTCCATGCACACACGCATGCACGCACACGGACAACAAGCCGAATGCAAACCGTAGGGTTGCACCAACAAACTCCCCCTCGGATTGTTGGCCTTAGGATCTTGGTCTCTCAGTTCAGAGCCATCCCAGCCAGCTTGCAACACTTCCAATGCTGCTGCTCCACCAGCCTCTTGGTCATCATGTCAGCTGGCTGCCTTGTCGTCTTCACGTAGTGCAACTCAACTTCACCCGCGGCCACCATGCTCCTCGTCCAATGCCACTTCACCCTCATGTGCTTGGTGAGGCCATGCAACACAGGGTTCTTAGCAAGAGAAATGGCACCCTGGCTGTCACAGTAGAGTGGGGTAGGTCCTTGCTGCTCCTCCCCCAATTCAGCCAACAAACGCCACTGCCACACAATCTCCCGTACGGCACGGAAGAGTGCCATGTACTCGGACTCCACCGAGCTCAATGCTTGATCCACCTGCTTCTTGCTCTCCCAAGCTGTTGGGCCTCCACTTACACAGCAAATGAACCCTCCAACACTTGTCATGTCCTCTGGTTCTGATGCAAAAGAAGCATCCGAGAATGCGGTGAGGAACAAACGCCCGGGTTCAACACCATCCGCGCCCTTTTGGCGCCTTTGCGCCGCCGCCGAGTATTGCAGCCCAACGGTCGGTGTTTGGCCAAGATACTTGGCCACCCTCATTTCAGCTGCTACCTGCTCCTCGTTAGGGCATTGAACAACCCTAGCCAACTGTCCGGTAGCAAACGCGACGTCCGGTCGGGTGTTTACCGCCGCGTACATGAGGCTGCCCACCAACGAGTGAAAACGGCGCCTCTCCTCTTCACCAACGCTCTCCTCCTCTGGTCCCTTCACACACTTGAACCCAGAGGGAAAGGGTGTAGCCACATGGCCTTCACTCTGCCCAAAGTTGGCAGCCAATGCCTCCAGGTACTTTCGTTGATGCACCCGCATGCACCGCTTCTCCACATCTCGTTCGATGTGGA